AATTAAGGTATTGTGTCCAACTACTTCTAAAAAATAAATATGAAAAAAAATTAGTTTTCTTTCAGCCTAGAAGTCCTAATTCTTAAGTCATTTATGAAGGGTCATCACAAATGAAAATATCATGAAATATATTTATAGAATGAAAAAACTGTACTTATAATTATCAAGCAAGCTTCCATTAGTTAGGATACCAAGAAATACATAATAGGAAGACAAAACCTACYAATTCAAAGTATGAGAGATTTCAATACATTTTACATGTATATGTCTTTTGTATTTATATATTTATAAACATTACCTCTTCAACATGGAAAAACGTTGTCAAAACACTGACTCAGGACTTTTTTAAAAATTTACTAAGTGCAAAATTTTAAATGCAGGAAAGGGAAGACACCATATATCTGAATTTACAAACAAAATTCTAAGAAAAATTGCAACAGATTGGATTAATTTTGTAGGATAAGAATATAAATCAGAACATAGTTAAATGTTTGCTGCCATCTTGTGGAAAATTATATTTTATGAAATTTTTCATTTGCTATTTATATTTCAGTTCTAATATTATTAGCCATATTGTGTCTTTAACTTTACATTTTACCATTAAGGTTATAAATTTGGAAAAGACTACATAGGCCATCAAGTCTCACATCCTGACAATGCAGAAGTCATTTCTACAGTGAGTAATTACTATACTGTAAAGAAGTCCATTTTATAGACAGATACCTATAACTAAATTTAAAAATTCTTCCTTATAAGAGATACTTTTAATCTTTAAGCTGTTTTCAGTCAGGCATGGTGGAACACACCTGTAATCTCAGTGACTTCAGAGGCTGAGATACGAGAATGGCAAATTTAAGGGCATCAGCAATTTAGTGAGGTCCTAAGCAACCTTGTGAAGCCCTGTCTCAATATAAAAAATAAAATACAGGGCTGGGGATGCAGCTCCGTGGTAAAGCACCTCAGAGTTCAATCAATTCCTAGTACCAAAAAAAAAAAAAAAAAAAAAACTCTACTTTTTCTATGACCAAACACATTCTTGATCCATAAAATTTTTTTAAAAACCAAATGAATCACGATGTCTATTTATTGTTCTAAATACTTAGGTGGGAAATTTTTTTAATCAAGAATTGTCTACTTTATAAACTACATAATAATAAATGTTTTTCAAAGTCAGATTTAACTATGATAAAATGTTTTATTCCCACAAGCATGTCCAGGAAAATCTCAATTATAGTACTATTCTACTGAAAAGGATAATCTATTATATGATTACATTCTATTCAATCTGTTATTGGTACAAAAAGTTAAGAGCTCTATCTCTATTATATGTCTATGTTATACATGGAGAACATTTCAAATTATCTTTAAGGGAACTGACTGAGATTTTATCCAAGATCTATTATAGGCTAGTAGATTTCTGGCTGATCATGTAACTTCAATATTTTGATTTCCTCATCTATCTTTACTTTAATTTGTATGCTACAAAGATAATTATATCTTCACGATGGTATTTGATTTTAAGAGGTGATGTGAGAAAAATGGACTGGTCACTTGTCCTGACAGGCAAAGCAATATGCTACAACCCTTTATTGCTTTCAATAAAATAAAATAAAATACTGCTGTTACTAATCATTACAATAGAACAAAATGTTCTCTTCTTTCTATTGATTGAGCAAATTCTTAATCYAAAAATCTGAAATTCAACATACTTCATTAATAAAACAATGTAGCACTCAAAATTTTTTGAATTTCAAGCATTTTGGATTACAGATTTTCATGGTAGGTGTTGGGCCACCTCACTCGGCCAGACTCAAGTTTTGACCTGCATCAAGTCCAGCCTTGAAACAGGCCCAGGACAGTCCTCATCCAGCCTATGCAGGTTTCTGTGGCTATGAGACTTAGGTATAACCAATTTAGCGTCAGCATGAGTGACCACAGGACTGTCTCCACCAACAACTGCTGAGCATAGCTATGGCCAGGCCAATACTCACAGATGAAGCCTCTGGACTTGCTCTGGCACCAGCAGAAACCTGAGCACTGGAGGGACAGATTCATTTTTGGCTTATTAGTTGCAGAACGGGACTATGCAGACTATGCATGTACTTAGTAGCATTATGGGACTCAGGTACAGTGCAGGCGTGGTGGCCAAGTTACTGCCTTTACCAACATTACAGCAATCTTGGGCAACAAAGCATGAAACGAACCTCCATTTGCTGAGAGAAGGGCAGAGTACTTAGCACAGGATTACCTTGGAGCTTTGTGCTGAGCTGGTGTACTGGGCAGATACTAACAGCACTAATCCCCAGGCCTTTGCCCAAGCAGAGTCTCTGAAAAACTCCCAGTACCAGAGGTGGTTCCAGTTTGTCAGACTTCTATTCTAGCCAGCATCACCTGTGTCTACTTGAAGTAATCTTGGGCCTTGCTTGGGCCAAGTCCACCCAGCAGTAGGTATCCCATAGTTGTGAGCCTTGCTCCTATTCCATTGCTTTGCTGATTATGGTGGGCTTTGGGCTCAGAGTGTGACATGTTTCAAAGCGAGGCAGAATCCTATAGTATCCAACCACAGGACAGTGGATAAAGCATCTTGACCTATCACAGTCTGAGAGAGAGACTTAAAGGGATGGAGTACCCTTTGTTAGTACTCATTTCACATTGAACAACAAATCAAGTGCAGATTTGGGACAAGCTTGGACTTGGATAGCCCTCTCGTATTGAAACAATGACAATACACCAATAGTGACTGATGATTAACGTGGACTTAGGGGTGCCATCTAGTGCTGAAATAAAGTAACTACAGTCTCAGAGAACATAACTAGTTTGCCTTAAATTTCTGATCAGGCATGAAGCTAAAAYACAAAGAGTGGAAGAAATGCTGATCTTTCAATGCCTAGATGATTTTACACACCAAGGACCAAGAGCTTTCAGGAAATCATGACCTCACTCTTACAGTTAAAATAACACACCAGAAACTGAATAGATAGCAACCAGTATGGATGAACTCTCCAAAAGTTCAAAAGAAAATTTTAAAAATTTTTGGTTCTGGGGATTGAACTCAGGGATACTTTACCACTGAGCCATATCCCCAGTCCTTTTCATTTTGAGATAGGGCCTCACTAAGTTGCTGAGACTGGCCTTGAACTTGTGATCCTCTGCCTTAGCCTCCCGACTCACTGGGATTATAGTCATGTGCCACAGTACTTAGTTTAATAGAAAATATAAAATGGCTGTTTTAAGGAAATTCATCAAGCTTCAAGGGAAGGAAAATGAGAGGAAAAATTCAATACTCTCAGAGATACTTTCAGAGAGAGAGAGGCATTTTTTAAAAATTAAACCAAACAATCCTTGAGCTGAAAAACATACTAAGCAAAATTAAAAACATGATCAAAAATATAAATCTGGAAAGATCAAACAAAAAAGAAACAGCTCAAAAACAGACTATGTGAAAATATACAGAGGAGAAAAATAATAAGGAAAGAAGAGGAATGAAAAAACACTGCAGGAACTTTGGGGCCGCCTTAAAAGAGCAAATATTCAGTTCATGGATTTCAGAAAGCCCAAGGGGTAGAAAGCTTATTTAAAGAAATAAAAGGAAAAAACTTTTCCAAATCTAGAGAAAAATACAAATATCTAAGTATAAGAAGGTCAAAGATCACATTTTATTCAACCAAGTCTAGCCCAAGACATACCATATTCAAACTTTCAAAGGTGAAAAAGATTCTAAGGCTTTAAGAGAAATGAAAAACAAATTGCATAAGCGTGTCCTAGTTTGACAGAAAGCTGACTTCTCAGCAGAAGCCTTACATGCCACAACAGTAGCATGAGATTTTCAAAGTAGAGAAGGAATGAGGGGCGGGAGGAGGGGGGAAAAGGAGGAAAGAAAAGGGGAGGGGAAGGGAGAAAAGGGAAAGGAGGGGAGAAAGGAAAAAACCCCAACAAAACAAAAAAACCTCTGCCATCAAAGAACACTGTAGCCAGCAAAGCTATCCTTAAGAAATGAAAGGTAATATAGACATCCCAAATAAATAAAAGCTGAGGGAATATATCTCTGCCATACCTGTCCTATTAGAAATTCTTAAAGAGTTCTTCAAACAAAAAGAAAAAAAAAACATTAATAATAAGATGAAAATATGAGAAGGCATAAAACTCACTGGTAAGAGTAACTAGAGAGACAAATGCAGAAAGCTCTAATATGTATACATGGTTTGTAAAGCATTGTTATCTTTAGTATGAAGACTAAAAAATAAAACAAAAACAATAACTACATTTATGCATTAAAGAAATAGGCAATACAGAAAGATGTAAAATAGGACATCCAAACTTCAAAATGTGGTGAGGAATCAAGTGCAAGTGAAGTTTTTTATTAGTGTATTTTCTCTTTTTCTTTTTGTGTCTCTTTATACTCATGTGAAGTCGCTGTCCTTTCAAAATAGCCTGTTACAATCAAAAGATTTTTTTTTTGTAAGTCTCTTGGTAACCATAAAGCAAATATTTGTAATAGACTGCCCCAAAATAATAAGCAATGAATCAAGATGCACTACTAGAGTATCACTGTATCATTTAACACAAGGACTATAATAGAGTGAGAAAGGAAGTACAATAAAATTAGAAAACAAATAACAAAATGACTATAATAAGACCTTGCCTTTCGATAATTCCTTTAAACATAAACAGATTAAATTATCAACTAAAGGCATAGAGTGATAGAATGGAAGATTACAGGGTATGTTACAAATCCCAAAAACCTCACCACATCAAGAGCCATAGGAGTTAGGCGGCTATGAGGACCTGTCTGTAAGCTAGGGACTCAAAGAATGTTTCACATGCCTAAACTTTCAAAAGTCTTTTCTAAAACAACTTATTAAACTAGTTTTTCTGCATACACACAAAACTAAAACTCTTCAATACTCATAATTAACAAGTCATTAGAAATATACAAATTCAGTGTGAATGCATTGCCATGGAGTTTAAATTTTCATTATAACACAGGTTAAAGAACTTACGGCATCTGCTTTACAAATGGTGTTGGCTACATGTCGACACAGCATCTTTAACCAGTTTTCTTTTGGAAGTTCATCTGATGTCATCTGGAAACTTAGCAGCACATTTGCCTGCTCTGTCGGTGGCCTCACAAGCAAGGCAAAAGCATTATGGCAATCTAGGGTTCCAGAATAACCATAAACATTGTTACTCCTTGCAGAGTGTCCTCGGAGCACCAAAATTCCAATACAATTATTTCTTCTCCACCCTCCCTGTCCCCTTTTTTTCAAATGAACAATAAAAAAATCATCAGTTCAAAGAAAGTCTATTTGAAGATATACAGAATATCACCATATTAAGTTGAAGCAAAGAAAAAATTATAATAGTAATAGCATACCATGTAAAGAACCAACAATAACTTAATAACATTAAGTAAGCAGTATTTTCCATGAATTTAATATTTTCTATGATAAATTTTAAGAAAAAAATTAGATTATTTCATTTCTTAGAATTTTAGAATTTGTTTCAAATTAAAATGGCATTATAAGAATAATTCAATAGCAATCCACTTGGGGCTGAGGATATAGCTGGGTAGAGTGCTTGCCTCGAATGCAAAAGGCCCTGGGTTCAATCCCCAGCTCCACAAACAAACAAACAACAACCACAACAACAACAAAACACTTGAATCACATTCAAATAAATGTGTCCAAATATTAAAACCATTACAAAATGTTTTTTGCTCAAGATGCTAAAACCGAACCTATTTTAAACAATGAACTCTTTCATAATAAAAATTCCAAAAACATTTAAGTTATTTAAATAAATGTCTCGTAACCTTAATAAACTTAGTTTTCTTTAAGAATAATTTCTCATGAACTCAAAACTTCTATCGTTAGAGGAATCAGTAATAGAAAAAGCTTACATTATAAAAATGTATGCCTAACATCCAAAATATGGGCATAAAAACACATTATTATGTGACAAGTAAACAGGTAACACTGTTTTAGGGCTAGGGGTGTGGCTCAGTGGTAAAGTGCTTGCTTAATATGCACAAAGTTGTGGGTTCAATCCCTAGCACCACAAAAAATTTTTTAACAATTTCAGGCCTTCCAAGCACCCTCCCTAAATACTACCAAAATTGAGAGAAAAGGCTTTCTTTAGTACAAGGCTATGACTTAGATATGGAACATCATCCAAAGGTCCATCTATTAAAGGCATCACCCCCAGCTAGGCACTACTGGGAGATCTGAAAACTTGAAGASATGGGGCCTAATAGGAGGCTTTAGGTTATTGGTAGCATGTCCTTGAAGGAGATTATGGGACCCCAGTCTCTTTCTCCTTCCCTTTTCACATGCCAGCCATGAGGTGAACACTATTCCATCACACACTCCTGGCTTAATGTGCTGCCTCATGATAGGATCATACTAATGGATTTCAGTCATGGACTGAAACCTCCATAACTACAAGCCAAATACTCTATAAATTAACTATATCAAATATTTTTTAACAGTAACAGAAAGCTGACTAACACATATATGACCTCATGTCAAGTCTACCAATAACTTTAGGTAATATTTATTTCACACACAATTTATTTCACACACAATCTATTCCCAAGCCATATCTTAAACATAGTCACTGGCACTGGGGATGGTAAGATATGAAGCATAGACTGGTGATTTCTTTTAAAAAAAGAAGAAAAAATTAGAAAAAAATATTTCAATGTGGAAATAAAATAGTTTAGTACATAACCACTAGAAGTAGGATACCCTATAAGTTGAAGTAGTACTTTCATTTAAAAAAAAAAAAAATCAAACCTCTTTCTAGAAATGAAGTTGGGATACAGGTACAGGAACAATTACTTTACCAAACTGACTYTCTGCACTGAAAGATAATATATCAGTTAAAAAGACAAACATATACTTGAGTGAATTGGCACACACCTATAATCCTTTAACCTATAACTTGGGAAGCCAATACAAGAAGATTCAAGTTGGAGCCCAGCCTTCTCAATTTAGTAAGACTACCTCAAAATAAAACAAAAACAAAACAAAAACAGGCTGGGATGTAGCTCACAGGTAAATTGACCTAGGGTTAAATTGTTAGAACCACAAAAACACAAAAAGAAAACATACAGAAGCAAATTAAACCTCCTATGAATATAAACTATTTTTACCAAGCCCATAAGTTAACCAATGAGCATACCTTCTGTCTCTCTTATGTCCAGCACCTTCTTAATCTGAGAAAGAGGCATTAGGTGAATATGCTTAAGGGAAGCTGGAGGTCGGGCATGGCCGTGAGGACTCCTAAAAGTGCCAATAACTTTGTGCCGTTTTCTTGCTATCTGATTATAGAAAATAAAAAAGTCATCATCAATAATGTGAATAAAAACCAAGGCCAAAAACTTAAAAAATAGTACTAACCACACAAATCCATATACAASTCATCTGATTATTAGACATTCCAGAGTTACTATCTGATAAGAAGCAGAATTACTATGTGACAAAATCACACATGCAATTGAGTAGCAGACATGCTTACATTTAAGGAGTGCTCAAAAGTCAAGAAAAAATAGGCCAAGGGATAGGGTGGGTGGAAAACAACCCTAGAGATGTGAAAGAATAAGAAACATTGTGAGAAGCAATATTATGAAAGGATAAAGGAAATGAAAGGCTGTGAGTTCTGGAAGAGAACAGGTACTCTGAGATCTCTTAGGTTCAAAAGATCATTAATTTTAGTTTAAGAACAGAATTTACAATATCTCAGATCCTATGCACAAATTGAAAAACAGAGGAAATAACACAAATGGTTCCTGCTCTCATTATTATCTATACACTATTGAGAAAGGAATTAAAGAAGTAATCAAACAATATATTAAACAAATGATGCAAATTATAAATTCAAGATGCTTGTTAGGCTACAATTTTACCTAAACCGGGTACTCACACAAAAAGAAGAGTTAAGTAAGGTAACACTGGAGAAGATAAGAGCAAAATCAGAAAAGACCTTGTGATTCATGATATACTGAAGTTTTATGAATTTTATAAAGTCTACATTTTTTTGGTTTCATTTCCATGAAAGTCTTACATATTATTTACAGACTTTACTAAAAGATATTAACATAAAATGAGTTTTGATTAAGTTCCTTGGATTTTGATTGATCATCATGAATATAACGAAGTACAGCTGAATATGTAATACTTTGTGTTAGGGCTAATGAGCAAACCAAAACTAGTCAGTATATCATATTCACATTGAAGTAGAAATATGAAAAACATGTTTATATTGCGTATGAAGTACATATATCAAATATTAAAGGTTCATTTATATAAGTATATTGAAAATAAGCAATAAAGACTCTTAAAATAATTATTTCCATTGTAATAGTTGAATATACGTTAAAGTTTGGCTAACCAAAATAATTAAATGATTTTAAGGTTTATTTTTAAAAAGAAAAGAAATGACAAGTATTAATATTGATGGTACAAATGTTAAAAATTAAGGTAAAAAAGAGATAAAATATACAAAAGGAAAATGTATCCTTAAATCCAAAATTTGTTTCAGTAAAAACCATTACCTGTCAAAGAGAAAAAAACAGATTTTTACCTACAGTCACTACTTCTAACTAGTATGATGTATACTATAGTTTTTTAATTTATTTTTTAGTTGTAGTTGGAAACAACACCTTTATTTCACTTATTTATTTTTGTATGTGGTGCTGAGGATCAAACCTAGGGTTTTGCAAGTGCAAGGTGAGCACTCTACTGCTGAGCCACAACCCCAGCCCTAATACTATAGGTTTTTAATCATGTTAAGGAAATAGCATATTTTCATTATAAATTTGCTAAGAGTTTTATTTTTCTAAAACAAATTCAAGAATAAAACTTTACTTAAGATTATAAAGTTCAAATTTAATGTTATTTACAAATAGAGCAGTTTCTATCAAAGTGATTCTGAGACAGAGAACCTAAAAGGGAGTCAAACGAAAAGTCACTAGTAGGGAAGTAAGAGGCTAGGTACTTGGAAGCTTATAGAGGATGAGCCATGGCTTGACTGAAGTAGAAGGGACGTCAATGAGGCTGCTACAGAAGACTGTGAAGGAAATTAAGATCAAAGAATACAAACTAAGTCTTTGCTCCACCAAGAACAGGATGGCAAAATTCAAAATGGATTGGAACAGAGTCAGCTGGGCTAGGGAGTTGAACCGGAAAAACCTAAAATGCCTTAAYAGAAGCAAATTAATACAAATACAGAGATATAAGTAGGGTAAAATGCCATGATAATATAAATTCATATACAATATGATTAAAATTGATTTATCTGCTTAGCACCTGTTCTCAAAAGTAGGGCAGATTAGGCTGGGGTTGTGGCTCAGTGGTAGAGCACTGGCCTAGCTAGCATGTGTGAGGCACTGGGTTCAATCTTCATCACCACATATAAATAAATAAAGACATTTTTTAAAAAGTAGGGCAGGCTAGAATTCTTATTAAGCAGGAGACATATAGTTCAGAATTATCTGTGCCTCATGATTTTTTTTATGATTTTCTCACTATAGGATAYGGTCAATTGTGTATGGTATTTGTAATGTTGTTAGTGTTATACTTTTTGTAACGTTACTGATCTAATGAAAATATTTTTTCATTAATTTCAAAATCACAAAACTCTGCATTTAACAATTGAATTTTTGGTGAGATTTTATTGCACTTGTAACTGCTTTGTGCATGGCTTGTTCTCTACGACTCCCTGTATTTTATACTTTAAATAATAATGTACATGATATAAAAGGGCAGCACTTCAAGGGGAGTACAGCAGAAAAGGATAAAATGTTGGGGTACAGACTTTAAAGAAAACCACCAATTGCTCTGATGAAGGCAACGGAAAGTTACCCAGTTAAAAAAATATAAAGCAAAGTCTTATCAATGTCTGTTTTATCAAAATGAACATTTTTTTCTCTTTAAACATGAAGAAAAGGCACTCCTTTTATCTATCACTAGACTGTATAGTTGTGTAAAAATGCATATTAAAAGAATCAAGAGAAAAAGAAGAATTTTTTTTAAAAAACACACAAAGATAATTCAACAATTTTCCTGTAAGAGTAGTATGAAGAAAAATCTTAATTTGGATATAAAATAATTTCAGTATTGGAATCATTACACATTATCTGATATACTAAACATTCATTCACTGCAAAAACCATTAATTTAAAGAATAATCAAAGAATCATAAGGAATTAATAATATTTTTTATTAAATTCTCTCTTCAACAAAACATTGACTTTATCTCTACTGAAAAAAAATCTACTTAAATTCAAAAAAGAAGAACTCAGAATTATTTTGTGAATCTTGAGTAAATATACATAAAAACAAGAAGTTCCCAAAATTCTTGATCTAGGCATTTATTTGTATGGCAATAATTAAGTTTTCATTTTGACTTGAATTTGAAGTAATAGAAATTCATTTTACTTACTAATATTAGACCTTATCTTAAATACATTTTATTACATTAAACTAATGACTGGTTTCAATTTTTTTTAAAAGTGATTAAATTGGGCTTACTTCAGACTTCTAAATTATACTTTAATTGAAGCTTGGTTTTAAATATTCAGGGAAGTCACAAAAAGGACAAAAATCAAATGACTGCCTCAAAAGACAAAATATTTGACAAATTTAACACCCTCTCATAAACTAAACATTCAACAAACTACAAATAGGTATGCTGAGATTTTTGAGAACTTCATCTTTAATCTGTAATAAAATTTTACAATTTGATTTTTTTCAAAAAAGTCAATAATTGCAAGCACCTGTTAATAAATACATCTTAAATAATTTTTTAAAACAACAGTAGTTTGCAGTGTTATTATATGTGTATAACTTTACCTCAAGGCAGTCATTGAAGAGGAAAAGAGTCACTTGTTCTCCTCTGTCACAGGGGTGCTCACCTAGAGAAATTGTTTCRACTCGTTGCACTAAGCTTCGGTGAGAAGATAAAAGATTAGCCTGTACAGATGGAAAAATATTAAGAAATCAATTGGTATCAAGTAATTTTTTAAAAGCTGTATTTTAAATGAAAGTGCTGCCATGATGTTGCTTATATCAAAACTTATTAACAAGGAAGAAAATAAATGACAATCATCAAAAAATACTTACTGGGCATCCATCTACTTCATAAACAACATCAAAAATTTGCTTTTGTGCTTCTGTTTTTCTCTTATCCTCATTGATATGCCTAAAAAATTAAGTTATTTTTAAAGCTTTGAAAAACAGAATACAATATCAGAATATGAATACATCTCATGTCACAAAAAATTTCATCAGTCTGTCTTGATTTTGGTGACTAAAATCAGTTTAAATATTTTTTTAAAATACACTACTAATTTATTCCATAGAATCTTTTTAAAAAGTATGTTTTCCTAGCGTATATCTTTATATTCGTTATACATTTTATTTAAAAAATTAAATGTACAAATATTTGGATTAAACAAAATTTTGAATTCTAAATAAAAATTCAGTTAAGGCTTCATGCAAGTCATTCCCAGGTCATATGCTAATTATTTCTTGAAATAATCTTAAAATCACTGCTTACAGACAAAATGGAATATCAGAGAATATATTTATCATTCTGCCTGAAACAACTAAAAAGCCAGTCAAAATATAAAGAAACAAAGGTTCTCAAGATACTTAAATCAGTAACATAACCTTCTACCATAAGAGTGGGTGGAGGAAGAACAACCTAATGCAAAAAGAAGGAAAGACATAGTAAGATTAGAGTGAAAATTAATGAAAACATAAAATAAAAAACTTGAAAAGATCAACAAATTGACACTTTTAGCTATACTAGCCAAGAGAAAAATAAGACTCAAATTAGTAAAATCAGCAATAATAAAGTCTAGACATCATTACTAATGTTATAGAAATAAAATCATATAGAACTCTATGAACAACTACTTCAAAACAAATTCGATCACATAGGTGTAAAGGGCAAATTTTTAGAAAGATACAAACCACAGAAACTGACTCAAGAAGAAACAGAAAATGTAACACTTTTGATAGAACAAAGGACAAAAATCAAATGACCGCCTCAAAAGACAAAAGTATTTGACAAATTAACACCCTCTCATAAAATAAACATTCAACAAACTACAAATAGGTAAGGACTTCTGCAAGCTAATAAAAACTATCTATGAGGGCTGGGGTTCTGGCTCTGTGATGGAGCACTTGCCTAGAATGTTTGAGAGACTGGGTTCGATTCTCATCAACACATATAAATAAAGGTCCATACCAACTAAAAAAATATTTTTAGAAAACAGATATATGAAAACCCCCATCATACATAACAGCAAAAAAAATGAATGTTTTCTTCCTGAAATCAGGTTTGTAGATGACATGGTACTTATTTACAGGAAAAACTTAAAAATTCAGTAAAAAATTACTATAAAAAGCAAGGAAAGCAAAATTGCAGGATATAAAGCAAATGCATTTCTATATAACATCCATGAACAATTCAAAAATTAAATTAGGAAAGCCATTCCATTTGCAATGTAACAAAAAGAATAAAATGCTTAGAATAAGTTTAACAAAAGAAATGAAGAACTTATACCCTGAAACTACAAAACACAGTTAAAAGAAATTAAAGAACTAAGGCTGGGGGTTGTGGCTTAGTGGAGAGTGCTTGTCTAGCATGTATGAGGCACTGGGTGTGATTCTAAGCACTACTTATAAATAAATTTAAAAGGGGGAAAGGGTCCATCAACAACTAAGAAAAATATTTTAAAATAAAAGAAATTAAATAACTAAAAATATATGGAAATAAATCTCACAGATCACTTAATATTGCTAAAATAACCATATACCCCAAATTGATCTATAGAATCAATAAAATCATATTCAAATTTGCCACTGTTTTTTAAATATTATTGTTTTTCAGAAACTATCAAGATGGTCCTAAAAACCATATGTTAAATAAATAAATAAATAAATAGGGGGAAAATATGTAAATTCAAGGGGACCTGAATAGCAAAAATAATCCTGAGAATAAAGAACAAAGAAAGTGGGATTCACACTTCCCAATTTCAAACTCTTTAACACAGTAATCAAAACTCTGTGAAACTGGTATAAGGATGGATCTATAAATCTGTGAACTGAGAATCCAAAAAATAAATAAGCCTTACATTTCAGGTACAAAAGCAATTCACTGGAGAAAGGATATTCTTTTCAAAATAGTGCTAGAAAAGATTTCCATATTTATAAAAAATGAATAAACTTTGATCCATACCTTGCCTCAAATACAAAAATTACCTCAAAATGCATCATGGACTTTGTCTGGAGCTGCTCTGGACAGGAGCTACGTATGTGGCAAGCCAGCCATGTGTGTGTGAACTATGAGCACTGAGCACACAAGGTGAACTAGACTGACGCTGCCTCTCTATTTGGGCTGGTGATGTATGTGTCCTTTTAGCTAGCTCTGCCTATGATCCCCACACAATACACAGGATGGGTATGGCCTTCCAAGTTGTTAGTCAATCTGTTGACAGCAAGACATCAGGAAGCTAGACTCAACCCCCTGAAAACTGAACCCCCCTTGCGTCATTTAAATGGTTTCTTCCCAATAAAAGAGTTCTCTTGCCTGCCTTGTCTCCTTTGTGG